CATGTTTTTTTCATTGTTTCTTATATAACAAATGAGCTTAGGCCTAGACCAAAAACACCAAACATTGGTGTGAACATGTGATAGCTTCTTTCCCTCATGAGAGAGAATAAGACAACACTTTCAAGTCTCTCAATGACAGCTCTTATGAACCCTAACAACGACATTACCACTTACCATATCTCTATTCCTTTTTCTTCTTTGATTTTTCCCAAAATCCTATAAACACATAGGCCACATACTACATTAGACTTCCCTTTCTCCATCTTCCACTACAACAAAATTTGTTATTAACAACAATTATTTAATGGTAATAATTTAATTGCCGCCATATATAAAAATATTAATGGCTAATATATAATAGCCACTAAAAATGTATTTATATTACACTAAAGTTTACTATTAGCGACAATTATTTATTAGAAAAAACTAAGTCTCACATCGATTAGAGATAAGATAATTAAATAGTATATAAGTGAGTAATAACTATTACTTTATAGGTTCATTTTATAAGGTTGACTCCTAATTCACTATTCTAAATTAGTATCAAATCACACATTATTACCAAATTCAATAATGTTATAAAACAATTAGAGAGCAGCTTTCTCCTTATAAATCTCACATTTCTTAAGAGACAAGATAATTAAAAATTATATAAATAAAAAAATCCTCATCTTACAAATTCCACATCGAGTAGAGATAAAAAAAGGTATATAAGTTATGAATTTAGAAAAGAAAATTATATGAATAAATTATTTAAAGTAAAGGAGACAATTGAAAAAAATAACTTTTAATAGCCTTTAAAATGGCTACTAGAATTACCACTAAAAAAATTAAGTTTTTCCGACAATTTAGTAGATCTTTACCAGCATTTTATATAAATGCCAGTAATAGTATTAGCGCCACTGGATACACTAGCCTTTATTTAAATGCTGGTAAAAAGAATAATGGTCATTTATATGGCCGCTAAATAATAAATTAATTGCCACAAAAAATTAATTTTGGTGTAGTGTTCATTTGTATCTTTGTTCGTTTTTCTGTAAATGTGGTTTGGCAGAACATAAGAAGGTTACTCACTTTAATACTTGAAGTTCTTTAATTTAGGGTTTAATTTTAAAGATCGTATTCTTTAATTTTATTTTAGGGTTTGCCTTCTCTATTAAAGAAAAACTCTTACATAGTTCATCTTTATTTCTCCATGAATGTTGTTGCTAGTTCGACAAGTACATGAACGTGGAACATGGAGGCTAGCTAGCTCGATAGGGGAAGAATGCATTTGAAGGTTTGAAATCTTGTATTCTTTATTTTTGTTTTAGGGATTATTTATTGTTGACTTTGTGATGTATTATTGTGTATTAAGTTATTGGTTACTTTTGATTCATGATGACAATTTTTTGTACACTATAAGAAAAATGATGAATTGCAACGGACAAATTGCAACGGTTATCTTGAAACCGTCGTCGCTTTGGTATTGCGACCCTTCATATGACGATTTCTCACAACAGTCGCAAAATTTTTCAACATTGCGACGGTTTCTCCCAAAACCGTCGCAAAATTTTCCAACATCGCGACGGTTTCTCCCAACCGTCGCAAAATTTTTCAACATTGCGACGGTTTTGAGAGCAGCTTAAACAAATTGACATAAATTTGCTTCACACAACCCTAATCAACATGGCAGTTTAATTACAGGCATAAGCTAAATAGCATCAACAAAATTGTGTTCTGTACTAATTTAATTACAACATCATGTAATAATTTACATGATCAAGAAAAACTCCACGTGACATATAATAACGTTATTAATTTGTATTAAAAATTAAAAATTTGACAACATATTACTAAAAGATTAGTCAAAATCATAAGATTTCCTAATTAATTATTTCTCTTCTTTGAGCAGCTTCTATTCAATTCAGGGCTTTTTCCTTTTACTATTATAATGTTGAATCAAAATGAGGGTATCCCCTGATCCATCGGCAAATCCAAACTGGGTCACTTCTGCGTTCCATTGTGTGTTTTTGTTTTTGGCTATTGTGATCTGTTAGGCTCAGTTCATATCCCTTAGCAAAGTTGTTTCCTTTTAGTGTTGGGCCTAAAATCTTTCGGCCACACAGAATGCAAAGCTATTCCAAAACTAAACAAAATCAAATTCCAAGCATATATCATTTATTTAAAATCTTTGTTTATCACTGTCATTAATTGCATAATGTGTGTATTTTTTTTGGTAAAGTAGGAAAACTAAACAAAGCACACAGTTCAAGACATAGAGTCTCTCTCTAACGGAAACAAAACAAAATCTGGAGGACTCCTCCAAAATACATTGGAACCTAGGTTCCTTACACCCCAACTAGCAAGCGTATGAGCTACTGAGTTTATTTCTCTAGGGATATGACTTACGTAAACTACCCAATCCCTGGCTAGCCATCGCTGAACACGCCGAATAACATCATAGTGCTTGTGCAGATAATCCCTATCCGTTGGCCGATCTTGAAACAACTTAACAGCTCCCAGGCAGTCACATTCGCAGTTCACCTTCCGAAACCCACCTTTCCAACAAATCGAGAGACCCTCCTCCAGAGCCAACAACTCAGCACGTAACGCATCACCAGTTAAGGCGCTTCGCGAAAAGCCCCCCCGCCACATACCTGCCCAATCACGAATAGCTCCACCCATCCCCATAGCAGAAGTCTCACTCAACCAACTCCCGTCTGTGTTTAACTTGACCCATGGGTGCTCCGGAGGCCTCCAAAGGGCTTGCTCCACCCATAAACGCCTCTTAGCGTTATACACACTGTTCTCTACCATAGATAGTATCATCTTCCGACGGACCGCCGAGATTTGCCAAAGCTCATCATTAAACACCATGTTATTCCTAAAGCGCCAAATCCACCACAATATGATGGATATCGGAATAGCATCCTTGTGCACCAAGGTAGTCAAAATCGAGATCTTACTCAAGATCGAAAAGGGAAGTATGAATCGTAAAACGGAAGATCGTAACATGGATCGTAAGATCCTACAAAACTTATGAAACTCATATACGAACACATAAATTTTGTAGTAAAAAAAACAGCTTCATCCTAGTAAAAAACAGTAAAAATTCAACTAGATAAGCAAAAAACAATAATATTTATATAATATAAAGTAGTAAGCCAAATTACTAATATATATTAAAGTAAAAACCCCATCCTAGTTACAAAACTGTAACTCTTTCTAATTGTTCCCAATTACAAAATAGTAGCCCCATCCTAGTATCAAATAGAGATTCTATCTTAGTTACAAAAAAAAAAACAATCCATCTAAACTCTAAAGCAAATAATCTTGCAAGTTAAAATCATAATCGCTTAAGATATCTTCAACTCCATCGTGTGCTTGACTTGGAGTAATACAGAGATGGGTGACCTTCTGGGGAGTTTCCCAGAAACTGTGTAAGTAAAGACAAAACATGCTAAAAAGTGAAGTATTGTGAAATAAAATCCTTGAGAAGAATAGCAACCGAATTTGAGACATCTAAAAATTTAATAAAATAAAAAATAAATATTTAGCGACTGATTTAGAGGCAGTTAGTGCGACGGGGTGCTGTAAGGGTCTCAATTCCAATTTTGCGACGGTTTGTGCAACAGTTCCAGTAACCGTCGCAAAATTCACTCGTGACGGACATTTCTGCGACAGTTGGTGAACCGTCGCAATGGTGTCTTTGCGGCAGTTCTAATTGTCGTAATGTAGGTCATATAACTGTCGCAAAATCGTCATTTTCTTGTAGTGGTAGTTGGTATACTTGACTAATTTTGTTAGAATTCACTGTAATTGAGTTTTTTTTTTCTTACTATTTGGCAATACAAAGTTGTTTAATAAAATAGGTAAACTTAAGAAATTGTCTTCAAAGTTTGTAACTGCAACTACATTAATTTACCTCTTAATTTACTTCTTAAAATAACTCCATTGGAGTAGAAGAAGGTTATGCATTATGAAGGTATGAAATTTTGTAAGTTGAATACAATTGCATTTCTAAGCACGTACTCAAACTTGACTGATTAAGCAAAAATAGTCTCTCAGCACTTTTCATTTCAAACTTCACGAAGAAACAAAACGTTTAAAGAACGAATCTTCGCCACATCCATACCTTGTAGGGTTTAGGGTCTCAAGGGTATGATAATGAATTGTGGATAACAAAATTGACCCACAACCCCCATAGATTTTCATTGGATCTGTTGACTATCTCTTTTTAGTTTCCTAGAAGGGTTATGAACACCCTAAAACATTTTAATTTTCTTGACGAGACTAAAATTACATAGTTTTAGAAATTGAGGACTAATAACTAAAGAAAAAGACTAAAATCACAAATTGAAAATGATAGGAAGGCTAAATATATAGTTTAGGCTAAATATAATAAATGATATGATAAAAAAATAAAGATAAAAATAAGAAGAAAATAGAATGAGAATGAAATCCGAAAGAATATATATCTATAAAGAGTTTAATTTTATGAAATAATTAATATATTTTTATACTATAATTTAATCAGAAATCATGATAATCATTTTAAAGTAGTTATTATAAAATCAATAAACTTGTCATTAATAATAATTTATGATCGAATTATGGTAAAATCTTCTTACATTAATTACCCGTGCAAGGGGTATCTTCTCTTATAAAACCCTTCTTGTAATAAATCAAGTAGTAAATTTGGTGTCATGAAATACATGTCATGCAACTGCTTTATCCCTTTACTTTGTAACTTCTCTTGGTTTGAACCATATTCAACCAAACCCTTTACAATTTACTTGATTTTAATCAATTCTCCTCGTCCCCTCTGTTTTTTTTCTCTAGCCACCTGTCTCTTGGCATATAAAAGCAACTAAAAATCGTTGAGCCACGGGAAGTTTAGTTGAATTGAAGTTCATAATGATAAAGCTGATGAACATCCCTATTCAAACAATTCATTTCACAAACCATTCACTATATATATAAAGGTTACAAGCTACTTGCTTCTCATTCCTTCTCAACATCATTTGATCACTTCTCCAAATACCAAATATGAAGTTTCACATTCTTCCCATTGTTACTTTTCTCATGGTGAGCTCCACCTCTTCACACCATCCACTTTTCTTTGAATATATAATACTCCTTTCAAATAAGTGTTGCATAATAACTAAAAATAAGTCTTAAAATAAGTGTTGCATATTTTAGTTTTTTAATGTAGTATTAATTTTTTTTTAGTTATACCTTTAATAATATTTTTTTAAAAAATTGTTGTTTCATCATTTCTAATAAAAAAAAAATTAATAATAAAGTTAATTTTCATTTTTGCACCTTTTTTTATTTTTATTTTTTATAATCATGATATTAAAACAAAACATCCACGATTCTCTTTTATTTATTTATTAACCTTTTTTTTGTCTATGTGAATAATTTAGAATGACACTTACGGGACATAGTGAATAGTTGTTTTAAAAACAAAACTTAAATACATAGTCACAGGCATTCTTGATATTGTTTTCTAATTATAATTAAAAAATTTCTCTTAGTATTATCATGAAATTTTTATCACATATTATTGAGATAAAATTATAATTTTAAAGGGAGAATAATATCGACATTTTGTCCTAAGTTACTAGCTAGCCATTTGCATGTGAAAATGATTGTGTCATATATGAGAATTTAAAGAGGTTATGTTACGAAATGCAGGTTGTTATGGCAACTAATGCTGCATTACCTCCTGAATTTTACTGGAAGTCCATGCTTCCCACCACACCAATGCCGAAAGCCATCACTGATTTGCTACACCCTGGTCAGTATACTATTGGCAATTCTCGTAGCCATTATACATTCATCAATATTATTTTTTATTGCTTAATTTCATGTTCTAATAACAACAATTTAACACAAAGATCCAAAAAAATTAAGAATAATTCTATATTTTTTTCAGGACTTTGCACAACAATATATGTGTGTTGTTATATTTGTGTGTTATGTGTAGACATGCAGCGTATGTTGCGAGAGGAACACGTACCAATGAGGGCTATAGGCCAGTAGTAGTCCTGAAAATAAAACTTTACTAGCGATAACAAATTTTAAAACACTAATTATCGGATAATTAAGTTTAACAAAGATAAACGAAATTGAGTTTTATTCTTTATTTTATGAAATTAGTATAAAATTTATCTAATGATAAACAATGTGTTAAAAGAATATACCACTAACTTTCTGACACCAGAAAGTCTACAAGAGAATGAGAAAAATAATTCTAATTCATGCATGTGATAAGGAAAATTTCTTACATGGTTTGGAATTATGGTCCCGGACAAGTTTCATGTGACACACAACTATATTTTTAATTTATAAAAAAAATAGCCAATATGTTATAAGAAGATTAGTTGGAACCATATAATCTCAAACTATGTAATAATTTCTCAGTGGTTCAGGAAAGGACTAGTTTTGTTTTCCCTAATCTTCACTTTGCAGTTGTAAAACTTAAATAATAATGCAAGAAATTTTATTATACAATGATTTTTTTATATGATATTGTATAATTAAAAGAGAGATAAATGTGCAATAAAATAGAGATAAAACAAAATAGCATATTATAGAAAGTTATTGTACAAATATTATATCTCTTAAAGAATCATATAATCATGGTTATTAATCATAGTTGTCTTGGCTATAACTTTAATATGAGTCAAAATATTTATTCATTTTGATCTTACTTCCAATTGCATATGATTCAATTTAGGTACTATAAACATTTCTTCATTTCCACCCTAAACATTTTCAATTTTACTGTGAATTTTATAGAAAAATATTCTAAGATTTGTTGTCATTTTTTTTATCAAATCACATGTATCTATTTAGCAATAATAGAATTATTTGTGTAATGGAATTTTTGTTCTTTTTACTGAATTACATGAAAATTTTTTACCTAACCCCGTGTATGAAATACTTATTATAAAAAGATAAATAAAATATAATTTTTAACTCAACTTTGAAGGAAGGAATTCACAAAGAAAAGAGATATTTTGAACCATTTTTGGATAATACGATTAGAGTGTAATGTAACAAGGTTTGTATTTATTTTATACCCAATATAAAATTAATTATCAAAATCAAAAAATAATAATATGGGTAAACTTCGAATAACCACTAAGTAGACAATAATATTTAGTATGAAGATTCTTAACATGTCATTGACTCCTTGTCTATTAGTCATGAGGTATCATCCCCTATCTACCATTTTTACCGATAAGAAAAAGTTTTATTCCAAATATATCATCTACTTTAAGTGATTATTAATTATATTTAATGTTAGTTATAAGTAAATACATAGGAAATAGATTAACAATAAATGAACAACATAAAAGGAATTGAAGCTTGAGTAACTTAAAAATTAATAATTATTGCTTATAATTAAGATTAAAAAAATAATTTATTACTTATAATTAAAACTAAAGGTAATATTTTATAATTTTCTGCAATATTTTAATGGACTAATGATAGAAAAGCATAAGGAATATATTTTAAAAAAATTACAACTAAAACCTAAATTAAAATCATTTTCGGTAAACTGAAGAAACAAATAATTAAGGTAACAAGAACATACTTGAATTTAATTTGAGTTTACTCATTTTTAAGTGAAACCTGAAAACTAAGCGGGTTGGAGAGAAGAGAAAGACGCCTCTGTAGGTGTAGGGAACGGTAGTGTAAATGTTGGTGTAGAAAAGGGAAACCAAGGACAAGGAGGTGGCACTGATGTTAATGTTGGTGGAGGAAACGGTGGAGTGAATGTGCACACAGGCCCAAAGGGAAAGCCCGTGCATGTTGGAGTGGGCCCACACTCTCCATTTGATTACAATTATGCAGCCAGCGATAACCAATTACGTGATCACCCCAATGTGGCACTCTTCTTCTTGGAAAAGGACTTGCATCATGGAACAAAATTTAACTTACACTTCACTCACACCTTAAACGTTGATGCCACATTCTTGCCTCGCAAAATTGCTGACTCCATACCCTTTTCATCAAACAAGGTCAGTGACATACTCAACAAGTTCTCCATCACGCCAGGCTCAGATGAGGCTCAAACTGTTAAGAACACAGTGAGTGAGTGTGAAGAGCGTGGCATCAAAGGAGAGGAGAAGCGTTGCGTGACTTCACTCGAGTCCATGGTTGATTTCGCCACTTCCAAGCTCGGGAACAGTGTTGATGCTTTTTCCACGGAAGTGAGAAAAGAGAGCGAGTTTCAAGAAGAATACAGAATAGCAGGATCAGGGGTTAAGAAGTTGGGTGGGGAGAAGGGTGTTGTGTGCCACAAAGAGAGTTACCCTTATGCGGTGTTCTATTGTCACAAATCAGATAGCACCAAAGTTTATTCTGTTCCGTTGGAGGGTGCTGATGGAAGCAGAGTCAAAGCGGTTGCAGTGTGTCACACTAACACGTCACCTTGGAATCCCAAACATTTGGCTTTCAAAGTGCTTAAGGTTCAACCAGGGGCTGTTCCTGTTTGCCACTTTCTACCTCGGGATCATGTTGTCTTTGTTCCCAAGTAGAAACGCAAAGCCCTATTTGTGATGTTGAATAATTAGGCAGTTTTTATAGCAATAAGTGAGTTATAACTCTGAATCGTAGTATTTGCATTATGTTAACCAACATTGTCAGCATGTTAGTTTTTACAGTTGTACGCATGTTATATTTGCTAGTAATGTATTACGTATGCTAATATGTGCTATGATGAAGCTTTTTCATTCTCGTGTGTCTACGGACTTCGAGTTGTTTGTAATTTGCTAATCATTGTTTATTCCACTGTTTTTACATATTTTTATTAGAAAAATAAAAATAGATACAGCATGTGTTGGAATGAGTATTCTTTTGTATTCTATTATTTTAAAAAGTTGAATGAGATTTGTGTATATTCAGTAACTCACTAAATAAATGTAAAATAACTTCGCTTACAATGGGGAGAGAAGATCACGTCCATTTTTCTTTACAACTCAGCCCTACAACCCGATACTTGAACTGAATATATACAAATCCCTACAAAATTTGTGTATTCCTAACCTTATAAAAAAATGATTTAATGAATGATAGCAGTGCCGTCACTTGCGCACTGAATGATACATAAGACACCTCAATATTACAGTAATTTGACACCCTATCTCGATCTCTTTATATCGAACCATCCTATTACATCTGTCACTTCACTCTCTTCTATTGTAGATGAGTATGGGTGTCTAAAAAACATAACCCTTTTATTTTTACTCATCGAGGACTCAAGATACTATATACACCGGAAGCCTCATCGTCATAATTCTTTCCTAGGACGCTCGGATAATTCCCCACCATATCAAACCTATGAACTCAATTATGGAGAATGCACCAACCAACATCATCAAATACTTATCCTTGGCACGTGAAAAAAAATAACCTGTGCTTCAGGATTCAGCGACAAGAGTGTCATCCTTGAATTTATCAGGTGTAAATGGCTCCAAAGATCCCCATGTTCTTCCAACCTTAAGTTTGACAGTCAAAGGAACTGCAAAAGCATAAATGTAAAAAGTGAATATATTATTTCACCATAAAAGCAGAACTTCAATTCATTTTACCATCATCCACATTCAACTCATCCCCCGAAACAAGGTTCCCAGAAGTATGAAGTTTATGAAATACAAACCAAGAAGTGAGACCGCATTCTCCATGCTTGTCTGTAATAGCAGGGCAGCTTCATTTATCACAGAAGGATCAACTTCCAAAACTAATTCATCGTGTACCTATTTAACAATCAATGAAATAAGTGAAACACAAACAAACAAAAATAAGAGAATACAAATCCTCTAAAATTTACCTGCAACAGAATCCTGCAACGATCTTTAAGCATGTGAAACTTGGCTGCTACTGAAGAACTGGAATCCAGGCTATCATATCCAGCGACAATTGCAGAGTAAATTCTTATCATTGCAATCTTAATTATGTCAGCTGCAGATCCCTGGGAGGGGTTGTGGGAGAGGAAACAACACTAACATGAATACTGGCATGCTCTGAAGAAAACATCCTCAATCAGGAAGAGAAAGAATATTATAAAATACCTGACAAATGGAATTTACAGCTTGCCTCTGAGCTTTGGATTTTTCAGTACTGCTGCCCAATTTAATTTTTGACAAAAACCGTTTTCTTCCTTTAAGAGTCTCCACATATCTGGATCATGCATATAGAAATGTGATCCACAATTTCCAAAATTAATTCAAGTTTAACAAGAATGCATAAACAAAGTGCTATGTAAATCACCTTTAAGATTGATAAGCATATTTTGCAACAAGGTTATATCGAGATCACAAACAAGAAATAACTTGCATGCAAATTACAACAGAGATTAAAAATATTTTTAATACCAAGAAAAATATCAATTTGCAGAATGACTATTATTTTAAATCCTACCAAAAATATAAAATTGTAGAAAGACAGCAACAAAACAATGCCATAATAGTCAATACAATTCCAAACAAGAGTATCCAATGCTTACAACAGGAGTATCTTCGTTATAGTATCCCTGCAAAGGGATATTTGAGTTAGGTTAATATGCAAAAAAGGAACAAGGTTTATCCTCACCCTTTACTACGACAAGATGCAACAGCTTCACGAAGCCAGGAAGCCACACCAGGAAAAGAGCTTTTAAAGTCAGTAATCTTTTCAGCAGCTTCATCAGAAGTGCAATCCAGTTGTTCTGCAAGGCTATTGACACCCATACCATAAAGAATGCCATACACCATCTTTTTGGTCTGCTCTCTCTCCTGGGAACCCACTGAAACCTCTGGACACCTGGTCCATCTTGCTGCTATCATTGTAAAGACATCACCATCAGGCTTACTGAGAAGTTCAACAAGTGAAGAGTCTTTAGAGAAGTGTGCCATCAATCTCAATTCTATCTGAGAATAATCTGCTGTTAAAAGTAACCAGTTATCCTGCAATAGAAAGAAATAAATGAGGATAGACTACAGGTATAGCAAATATTTAGCACAAAAGACCTGAAAGTTACAAAGAAAATTAAAGAAATAAGCAGAGGGAATGATGGATTATAAAACGAAGGACATGAAAGGGAGGGAAAGAAAGGGAAAGTTGTCCTCCTCTAGTTATAAAGGTTTTTGTCAGTAACATTGGGAGAACTGTTTTACAATATTAAAAATAAAAAACACCAGTACAGAAGAAACAAATAAAGTTAAAAGCCTATCACCTGGGTAGGAACAAAGAAATCACGAGCATTAATTCTACAATAACTCTCATCAGCATCACCTTCATTTTCCTCCTCTTTCATTTTGAAGTCTACTGTATGTTCAACACACTGCAGCACTCAACAAGACATTGTATAACATTATATGTAATGAACCAACTATTTCAAAAGTTTAAGTTATTAGACTTGAATTATTTAAATTTTATATTATATTTCTAATATGCCCCCTCATGCAAGAGCCCTTTGGGATTGAAGCATCGACAACCACAAACTCACCTACTGTGTGTTGAAACTAAACTTTCTTTTTATTAGAAAAATGAAGCAAGCATCAAACTCTAGACTACTTGATCTTGGAGGTTTGGATACCGTATCATGATCCAATAATACCAAATACTTGAGCTATTAGGTGAAGACAGATGAACTGATTTATATATATTTCTAAGATCAAATATAGAAGTTATTCCAAAGAAAAAGAGAAGACATGTAAATAAAAGAACCCAAACCTGAAGATTAGGTTCCTCCATTGAAAGCCGACCAGTTGCTGTGGATGTCTGGAGCCAATGACCATGTAATGTATACTTCTGTGTGCTTACTGAAAGCCTAGCCAGAGAACAAATTGATCCTAGCGTAGAGTTCAACAGCTTTGACATTGTTCGATGTTCTTTAATGACTGGAACAATGGGATGTTCATGCCTGAAATAATCAAATTTCCCTGAACATAGATTGCAAATAAAGAATATAAAGTGAAATTCCTACACATACCACATATTTATTGACCTAATAACTTTTTAAATATCCATCATAAAATACTTGTGCAACCTCCAGCACGGTATATATTATACAATCATCCTGAAGGTCAATTTAGTTATTCGGATATAATGAATATTATAAAGGAAATTAAATTTCTTTTCATAGATATATGAATCATTAGAGAAATGATAGGGAGGATTTATTGTAATATTACTAGAAAATATGGCATAATTTGGTTGTCAGAGATGACAGTGACCACCACCATACAAACATATTACAATTTGCATAGCACTAATCCTTTCTAACATGCTTTTTTTTGTTGCCTTTTTTTAATACTCACTTTTACCATCAAGAAGTTAAAACAAATTGCATGAAAAATCATATGAAAGCTAAAATTACATTATAAACTAGTTCTCTTAAAGATATGAAAGCACAAAAAAAATATTTTATATCTGTTAGAATATTTAACACATGATAAATATGTAAATAGCAGATACCAGAAATTTGGGATGCAGTTACTATAACTTAGGAATTTGATTTATTCTTATGTATTTCTGATTGATTTTCTAGTACTGTAATATGTGATTATAAAATACTCATAAGTAAACATACTGTACACAACATTCAGATAAATCCCTCCTATATAGTATTCAGATATATAGTAATCGAGACTATACAATTGTTTCATCAACTTCTGCGTTGGTTCACTTTGGTACTTGGGGTCCTAGTCATGTATTGTTCAACTTCAGGTTACTATTATTTTGTCGCTTTCATCGATAATTTTTCCTGTTATAATTGTTTATTCTTGATAAGAAATCATTCTAGCTTTTAATATATTTCAATAAGTCCCGATTAACATACCACTAGGTTTTTCCACCCAACCTCCATCTAACAAACATGGTTAATTATGTGTACAAATATGGTTAATTACATTTCATAAATGGTTAAAATAAATAAAGGTAATTGTATATAATTAGTGATTATTGATAGAGTTAATAGTATAATCAGTTTATTGAGAGTAGTTAACATTGTCTTACAAATGGTTAACAATGTCATAAGGTCATTGATTGTTACATATGGTTAACTTCATATGTAAATATAGTTAACTTTGTTCATTAGTAGTTAAAAGTAAAAGAATGTCATTATGTACAATTGTTGATATGTGAAATAGTATCATGATGTTATTGAAATATCTAATAGTGGTTAACTTTACCTTACAAGTGATTAATAATATCATACAATTATTGAAATATCTAATAGTCATTAACATCACATAACAAGTGATTAATACTAATCACATAGATAATTTTATACAATCATGTTCATTATTAATATTATTGACCACTTATGAAATAAAATTAACCATATTTACACATAATTAACCATTCGTCCAGGTGGATGCTGGACGGATAAAACCCAGCAGGAGTTCAACTTTTCCCTATTACAATGTCGATTATGAGTTACGAAAAGGAAAAGGAAAGTTTGTTAATACCTCAGTGCATCCAAACAGTGTTTGCCAGTACTTGGATGTTGTTTTCCCTTATTCCGCACATCAGGTATGGGCAGCTTCAAGTGCTCATACAGAACCTTCGCAATATCTGCTGGCATATGTAATGAAAATGTTATACCAGCCAGCTTATAAGCTTCCTTCTCAAGATGCTTTAGCCTTTTAACCAACAATTTACGAGCCTGGATGCATCTCTCCAAATCAACACCAATTCCCCAAAGCTCCATGTCAGCAAGAACATTCACCTAACATAGAAATGTAAAAATTAGCATCAAATAATTCCAGCATGTAACATGTTAAGATCCCACATCAGCTTAGGCATAAAGGCAAAGTATCCCTTAACTTCAGCAGTTCTCTCCTCTTGAGCTAGCTTTAGGGGTTGAGT